AAACCACCTTTCATTTTCGGTCGTTTAGTAAAACCATGTAAAACGACGTAAACTTGGCTAGCCGTGGTTTTTATCTACATGACATAGTTTTCAAAATGTTTCACTTGATTTCTTAGAAAAATTCTTTAAACAAATGTTTTCAACACTTGGTTTTCATTTTGGAAAACTTGGATTTTTGACATCAGCTAACGACATGACTAAACCAACCACGGGTCTGGCTAAACCAGCCCAACAGCGATGTTGGAGTAACCAACAACGCTGTCTGGCATGGGAAACTGAAAAACCATGGTTTGGCGTTAAGTCTTCCAACAGCGATGTTGGTATATGGACATCGCTGTTGAGCCAAGGTTGGATTTCCAGAAACATTTGGAACAACGATGTAGACTATACATCGATGTCCAACCTAAGCCAAAAGAAATGCCTTTGACAGAAAGTTTTTGGACAGCGATGTTGACCCAGCAACAACAATGTCAGGCCATTTTTCATTCTTCAAAGTCAGGCTTGAGTCTTTAATTCTTTTTATGGATGGGGCCGAGTCTTCGTGGATTATCATGTTCATCGCCTTCTAAATATTCCAGACTACAATGCCTAGAATGATTCCCAAGAGGTGTGCTGTGATACTTTTACCTTTTGCCTTAATGAAGCACTGTAGTAGGTATTGATTGATTTGGATGTTGTTGAAGATCTTAGGCCCGTCTAGAATAGTTATGAAGTGTTCCCACACTTGTTTAACTATAGGACAGTGAATGAAGCAGTGATCTGAGGAGTCAGCTTCTTCTTTGCACAGATGACAAAAAGAGGTTAGATTGTAGGAGATTTTTTGAAGATTGTGTGTGAAGGGGAGAGAATTTGAGTAGATTTTCCACAAAAAGAGGCTAATCTTTGGAATTTGCAGAAGGTGCCAGATAATCATGCTAGAGAGTGTCCTGCAGTAGTTATGATTTGCAACAGAAATGGCCTACCCAAAGGTAAAATCCCCTTGCTTCCAGGTAGTTTGATCACAGGTAGTTTGCTGAATATTTACTATTCTCCTCCAAGTAGGTGAGTCTGTAAGTTTGTGCCTAATGGAACCACCCCTCGTATATTTTTGCCTCATAAAATTGGTCTAAAGACTATGGTAATGTTGCACCTTCCACCATAGCTTGATATCATGTGCTTTTTGAGTGATGTCCAGATGATGAATCCCTAATCTCTCTCAAGCTTCAGACAAATCAACAAACCCTAATTCGGATTACTTCGTCGGTGCTTCGTGGAATCACGGCTTCCATCGAAATTCCGAACTCAACATTGATTGAATATTCTAATGGAGTCTAATCGTGGGGAAAAGTCTAGTAATAGTAGTAGTAAATTGTTCTACGAAGCTCCTCTCGGTTACAACATTGAAGACGTCAGGCCAAACGGTGGAATCAAGAAGTTCAGATCTGCTGCATACTCCAACTACGCTCGCAAGCCACGCTGATATTCCCTAAATTTCTGTTCTTTTCACGTCTGCGACGTGATCTTTTTTTGTTTGCTTTCTTTTTCAATTCCTTTCTTTGCTTTGTTACAACCCCTCCTTTTCCTTCTTTATTTTGCTGCTTCCTTGCTTGCTTTCCCTTATCATTCCCATATATTGCCATCTCTTTGATTTTTGAACATTTTATTGGAAATGGAATTGGAAATGCCTGCATCTACTATTGTAACACCCTAATTCGCCCAGGTCTGCAGCCCCTTTCGGACTAAATTATTAAATTGGAAATCAAAAAATTTTAAACATTTCAAATACTTTTATTCATCATAAATATTATTCAATACATAACAGTAGTAAAATACGGAGTGTTTAATAACAGTGAGGAAGCAATTTAAACCATGTTTAATAACAACACAATTATTCATTTTAAAATCACAAATTCCACCACGACAGTCTCGCCCATTCCGCTGCCAGGAATATGTAAATCTTTTTTCGGCCTACCTACCTGCGCGTAGCAAATAAAACACACTACACGCTCAGCGGTGAAGCTAAGCAAGCATATCTAACACGTCGAACATCTATATAAATTGAATCTCAATTCACAAACAAACTGTAACACCTTAATTCGTCCAGGTCTGCAGCCCCTTTTGGACTAAAGTATTAACTTGGCAACGTAAAAATTTCAAACATTTAAAAACTTTATTTCAAAAATTGTACTAAATATTTCATAATAACATCAGATTAAAATTATTCAAAATAGTACGGAAGCGAATTGTAAATTACAACAGTGTGGTCACCATGTGATAAAATCATTTAGTTAAATAGTAGATTTGTGCACGTCCACGCATCACCTCCATCTCAGTATTCTCCAGAATAGGCTCCACATTTATTCTCTGTCATACCTACGTGTAGAAAGATGAAAAAGTCTACGCGCTCAGCAATGAAGCTGAGTGGTACCATGACACAACAAAAGAATTCACAGAATAATTTTCTTAAACAATACTCATCACATATATATGTTCAAATATTCGCTTTTTCATATTTAAATCCATCTTTGTTATTTTAACAATGATAATGAATATAGTCAATCTTAATTATCATCATACAAACTTAATCAGTCCATAATTCACAATAATCACATGTCACTTTTTTTTATCACAATATTCATCATTTGTTATACATAATTTTCATATCAAATTTTATCAGAATTTGCTCTTAACTTATTCTAAGTTAAGGCTAAATCATATCAATGATCTTAAACTATTCTTAGTATAAGTCAAATTAACATTGATAACATAACTCTTAAACTATAACTAGTCTAAGACAATATTTCTAACCAGGCCCTTAAACTATAAATAGTTCAATGCAGAACACAAGAATCGATAATCCACCCTATGAGTCACGTGGATTACGTACCAACCGAACAGTGATCTGTCGGGTGGGTGATATCCGGTTTAGATCCCGTACGTACGTTTTAACCCTGAATCATGAATTGGTCAAGGAGGTATATCTTAGAGTTGCTCTAGATATCCTTAATAATAATCATCAATTTCCAAGTGGGTATATCTTAGAGTTCTTCTCTGGAAAGTGAAGATTGAAGGGACTTCCTGGGACAGCGCTGTTGGAAAACTTTCTGGTTGACGGTGTTTCCCTCAGCAGCGCTGTTGTGTCTCCTGGACAGCGCTGTTTGTATGGTTCCCCCTGATTTCATGAACAGGGTACCTGCAAAAAAGAAAAAGTTCTCCGACGCTCAAGTTAGTAAATGTTTAAAAAATTTAGAAGCACAACTTAGATCATCGTGGAGTCAAGGATTCCGTGTTCACTTCGAATGCGGAAGAACGACTCTTTCTCTAAAGGTTTTGTGAAAATGTCTGCTAATTGGTTGTGTGTTTCAACAAACTCAATTTCGACATCACCTTTGAGAACATGATCTCTAATGAAATGATGCCTAATGTCAATGTGTTTCGTCCTTGAGTGAAGAACGGGGTTCTTCGTCAAGCTTATGGCGCTAGTATTATCACAACGAAGAGGAATGTGATTGATACTAAGGCCATAGTCCACGAGTTGTTGCTTCATCCGAAGGATTTGAGCACAACAACTACCGCCGGCTACATACTCCGCTTCGGTTGTGGATAACGCAACACTGACTTGTTTCTTGCTAAACCATGAGACTAAGGAACTACCAAGTAAGTGGCAAGTCCCACTCGTACTTTTACGGTCCAATTTGCAACCGGCAAAGTCCGAGTCGGAGTAGCCGACGAGATGACAAGAAGAGCCTTTTGGATACCACAGTCCAACGTTAACCGTGCCGACAAGGTACTTCATGATCCGTTTCACCGCGGTTAAGTGCGATTCCTTCGGACATGATTGATACCTCGCGCAAAGGCATACGCTAAACATGATATC